CCCTTTTTCAAGCCTTTTGCATACCACTCTCTCTGCCGCACTTGCGACTGCAGATACTTGGACACTCGGCGGACGGGGGGGAGAGCAACGCAATCAGCGCGCTGAGATATCATTAGTGTTGCGCAGAGTGAGATGAAAGCAAAAGAAAAAAACAGCAGGGAAGCGCGCCTGGGAAGCGGTGCGAAGGGGGGCGCCTAGCTGCTGCGAAGACTGCTGGGCCAAAAGAAGGGCAAGGCCGGGGGGGGGGAGGGGCAGGCTTCGAAGCGTGCCCATCGAAGATGGACGAACAGAGAGAGCGAGGTCGTGGGAGGTTGCCGGATTTAGAGCAGCGCCACGACGGCAGCGGCAGCACTGCCGAGCACGACGAGCGCACCAGCTGCGTTGGAGGCTGCAGCGTTGTTTCCTGTGGGGGGGGGTTTGAATCGGACACACGGATGAGAGTCAGCCCCACATGGCGCCCCCCGCCTTTCTGCAAGCCCCCCTCCTTTTTGGCCACACCACCCAAAACTCACCGCCGCTGCCGCTGCCGCTGAACGTGCCAAAGCCGCTGGCGCTGGCGCTCGGCGCGCCGCTCGTCGAGGAGCGCACGCCGCTCGGCAGGTTGCTGGCGGCCGAGGCAGGCACGACGTAGCCGGGCGTCACACTGCTGCTGGGCCCTGCAGAGGCGCTGACGTTGTGGATGGCAAAGGAGGGCGAGACGGCGTACTGCTCGGCTATGTTGTTGACGTTGTAGATGCTGATGGAGAGGAGTAGATGAGACAGGTGAATCAGCCCTTGCCAGACGGCAAAAGGGGCCGAAAGCGTAAGGGACAAAGGATGAAACGCACCGCACGGTGTAGCCATCAGCGTCTGTTGGCCAGCCGGGGAGCGAGCACAGCGCGTCAGCGGGCAAGCATTGCAGAGAGAGAGAGGGAGGGGGAGGGGGCGCGACGAGGGGGGCAAGCAAAACAAACACTCACGCGCAAGCTGTCCGATGGACACGCCCAGCGAGCCGGCGGCCGCGGGGACGTTGTTGAAGACGGAGAGGCCGTTGGCGAGGATGAGGTTGTTGCTGTTCAGGATTCTGTGATGGCGCGCGTTCCATTCGAGCAGCAAAGGGTTAGGTCAGCCAGCCAGCTGGGGGGGACGGTCGCACAAGAACGGGCTGGGCCATTGCCCCCCCCCCCCCCCCCCCTCCTCCCCCTCTGACGTGACGCTTGCCAAAAGATCGGGAAGCCCGAGGTGGGCACAGCCCTAGTGCCACAAGCAAACGGCCACAGTTGCGCGCAAGCAATGCGGCACACAAGGCCGCATCTGTCCTGCTCGGGCCCCTTTGCAGTTGCGTTGCGCCAGCACCCGCGCTTCCACGCCAGCGTTTTTGTGGCATGGCGCCATGTTGGGCAGCGCCCCCTCATGACCCCCAGCTGTGTGTGTGTGTGGGTGTGCCCTCCGATAGCGCTGGAATCTTCGGTGGCCAAGCCTCAACTTTGGCACGTGTGCTCCTCACTTCGAGTTGTGCCGCAGAGGGGGGGGGGGTGCCGTCGCGCACATGTGGCGACCTCATCCTGCCCATGCACCTTCCATGCACCTTTCATTCCACTCGCGCCCTCTGCCCTTCTTCCCCCCCCCCCCTCTCCCTCCGCGGATCGCATGTTTCCGCTTTCACAGCGTTTCACAGGACGGCTGAGCGTGCGCCGCCTCCCCTTGACAGCACCACAGCTGCGGCGCCAAACGTGGGCGCAGCACACCCACACACACACTGTCTCCCCACGCGTACTACTCTCCTCTGGCGAAAAAGGAAAGGGCCCAGCTCCCCTTGGAAACCTCGCCTCTCTCTCTCCCCCGCGCGCGGCCCACCACTCTGCCCTGCGCCCACTTCTCTGCCCCCCCCACACACGACACTCACTGCACGCTAAACAGGCTTGGCATGTTGCCCGTCCACGCGAGGCGGTTCGTCGAGTTGGAGTACCACACGTCGCCGGCCTGGGGCGAGGTGATGACGATGTTGCTGCTCGAGCTCGACGTGCTGCTGCTGCTGCTGCTGCTGCTGTTGTTCGTGCTCGACTGCGCAGCGCAGAGCGAGGCGAGCAGGAGCGCAGAGAGCGAGGAGAGGAGGGAGAGACGCATGGCTGTCTCTGGAGAGAGAGAGAGTGTGGTGGTGGTGGTGGTGGTGGTGGTGGTGGCGGTGGTGGTGGTGGTGGGGAAGCAAGCCTTGCGCCCGCCTGCTGCATGCTGGCGCTGGCTGGCTGTGGCGGAGCGTGTTGCTCTCTCGCCTCTCCCCGCGCCCTTCTGCGGCAGGCGCCGCGCGGCGCCAAGACACGCGTCGAGAGGAGGCGTCGGACCCTCGCGGGCGCTCGCCCGCTCCCCGGCCCCTTTCCAAGAACGCGGCGCATGATCTTCCGCGCGCGCCGTGCCGCGGCGGCGGCCAGCACCACTAAGAGTCAGATGTCAGCCGTCGCCGCCGTCGTGCTCAATCGAATGGCAGCACACAAAGGGAGGCAGCGGCAACACGTCGTAGGATGTCAGAGGCTCTGTTGAATGAAACGCATCAAGGAGCAGACGTCCGAGCCCCCCCACGTCGAGGCCGGCGGCTTGCTCGGCCTGCGCGCATGACGAGGCGCATCTGACGGGCCCTCGCTCGCTGCCCTGCAACTTCAGCCTGGGCTGTCTCACGCCTGCCAGGCGCGAGCGGCTCCTGTCAGTCGCTCACGCTTCACCCTTGGGAGCGTGCCTCTCTGTTGCTGTCGATGACGATGAGGGGGCGGGGGGTGCGCTTTTCTCCTACTGCGCTTTAACACGTGGTTTGCCGCAGCAGCAGCTTCAAGGGTGCTGGACGAGCGTGTCAGGGCCGCGGCGCGCGGGCAGACGGAGTGCTCGTGGCCGTGGCAGCACGGCGGCGGAGGGCGGCGGCCGAAAGCCAAAGGCGCGCCCGATTTGATGCCGCGCGCGCCGCGCCAGCACAGCCTTTTGGCTCTGCGCTCGGCTGCGGCTGCGGCTCTTGATTGCGAACGACGTTTCCTGACGTCCACCATCCCTCTGCCTCTGCGCCGCACACCCACCTCACATCGGCCTTCCTTGCTCTAGAGCGCATCACCCCCACAGCAGCCCTCCGCCTGACCCGCTGCTGCGTGTTGCAGGCTGTCGGCCTTGCGCCCGTCATGCTGCCTCGTTCCTCTTCGCACTCCTCCTCGCTCGCCTCGGCCTCGCGGCCGCATCATGCCAAGAGCATCTCGCTCTCCGCCTCCTCCTCTCTTCCCCTCCGCGCTCGTCTTTCCGCGCGCAGTCGGCTGACGAACCTGGGCGTGCTGCTCCTGGCCTGCTCGCTGGCCCTCTCGCTGCTGCTGCACCTGCGCGCGCTGCTGCACAGCGGCGCCGTGCCCCTCTTCCGCGGCATTCCGCCGCCCGGCTTCGGCTCGTGGAGCAGCTTCCATGGCCTCACGCCCGCCAACTTGGCGCGCAACGTCCCAAAGCCCGCCGACGGCGCAGAGAAGCTAGACCACCTCGTCGTCGTCGTGGGACACGCCGTTTGGGGTGAGTAT